CTGCAGAACAGTGCCCCCACTGAGCCCCACTGCCCACCCCCAGGCACCCACAGGGCCACTGGATCAACCTTGCTGATAAATCTCCAACTCAGCAGTGCAAGGGCTCCACAGTGCCTTGTGCACAGGTTAATAGCACCATGACTGCAGGAATTACTAGTGCTACGTGTACTGAGTCATGAGTGCCCAGGTGCTGACTCAACAAGCCCAAGGCACCCGTGGGCCACCCACCTGGCACACCCCACCCCAGCCCAGCCTTGCCCATCCCCCCTCACCTTGTCATTGATGAGCAGCTCCATGGGGTTGTTGCCCCACTCAATGAGCACCAGTTCATTGGCCTGGCCAGGCACTGAGTAGGAGAAGGGGGTGCCAACACCAGGCGCTGTGCTGGACTTCAGCCACAGGCAGATGGAGAAGGCAAAGACCTCGTGGTGCAGCATCCGCTTCACCTTGACATACATGTAGTTGGTGCGGAGCGGGAAGCCCACCCGGAAGTCCTCAGAAAGCTTGTCCACCTTGTGCCCTGCTTGGGGACAGTGGGTTCAGTACCATGGGGGTGAGCCCGTTCATGGCCATGGAGGAAATGACAGTTCTCAAAGGCCAGTTGCTATCCCAAGTCCATCCAGCTGTCTCCAGCCAGCCAGATACCCCCCCTCCCCCCGCCCCGTCATCAACCCATCAACCCTGTCCATCGCTCCAGCAGCCCCTGCCACGTATCCTTCCATCCCTTCTCACACACACCAGCCCACCTACTCATCTGCCTCTCCATCCCCACATGGGCATCCATCCATCCATTCCTCCACACACCTCTCCACTCACCTGTTCCTCCTTCCTCCATCCCTGCCCCCCTTCATCTATCTTCACACAAACACACCTCCATCCATCCCTGCTTTCCCTGTGGCAGGTTCAGGTGTGCTTGGTGCCCCTGGACTATGCACCTGGTGAGTGAGTAAGCAGGCTGTGATGTAGTTTTAGGCATAGGTTAAACAGGCATTTGGATGGGATGGTTTGCACGGGGCTAATCCTGCTTTGACCAGGTGGTTGGACTAGAAATGACCTAGAGGGCCCCACCAGCCCGACTGCTGTATGATGATCCCAGCCCACAGTCCATCCATCCACTCTTCCTATACCCTTCCCTCTATCCATCCACCACTGCACAGTGTGTGCACCCCTCCATTCATCAGTTATTCTCCCCCTCTGCTCTCTGACTCCGCTGCCTCACCCTTCTCACTACCATGGCTGTCAGGTTTATGCCAGTGAGGCTCTGTGGCATTGAACTTCTCCTGGATCTGATGCTCCAAGATGCTGATCTTCTTCTGCAGGGCATCCCGCAGAGAGGATGAGAAAACTGAGCTGTTGCGGTTGTGCTGGGGAAGGACATTGGGCAGAAGAGCTGTGAGACAGGCCATGCCTTCCCCTGTACCCCACTCCCTGCCAATCCCAGACCAGCCCACAGGCCCATCCAGCCACATGCATGCATTGAGCACCACCTGGAGCCTAATCCCACCCCACCCCCACTCCCATGGGTATGACCCCAATCACCTCCTCCCTGGAACAGGTGTTCAAATCTCCCCACGGCACTAAGTAGGGTAGAGTGGGGGTGGAGGAGACTGGGCCTATCTTTAGCCATGGGGAAGAGGTCAGCACCTGATCTGCTCCTGTTAATCCCACCAGCCCCTGGCGCTGCCACCTCCTATTAACCCTCATGCCCCAGTGCCACAGATGTGTTACGGGGCAGCTCCAAGGGGAAGAGAGGCAGGAGTGAGGGTGGGGGAGAAGGGGAGGGGGCACATGAGGAGGGCAGAACTGGCCAAGTCAATCAGAGCCAGGATAGTTCCCAGCCCCTCCACCTCTACCCCCACTTCATGCTCTAATTCACTAGACCCAACTGCCCTGCATTGTCCCTTGCGGAGTCTGACATAAGCCCTTTTGGACAAGGGGGCACTGGCTTTGATCTGGCCCCAGGACAGGGGATGGGCTGGGGGTTCTCTCCTATGTCCCCCTCCACCTGCTTCCCAGGTGCTTCCCCAGGAAATGCTCCTTTTCAGGGACATCCCCACAGCTCAAGGACAAGGGACCCTGGCAGATGGTCTCCAAAGAGGATCAATTGTCTAATTCCTCTGGGCCAGCAATCTGGGGGTGTTTGTACTTAACTAGGTCCAGCAGGAGGGCAGGGCCGGAAGCCAGGACTCCTGGGTTCTTTCCCCAGCTTCCAGGGGTGCCCGCGCTGTTGAACTGGAGGGGGAAGGGATTTTGGGGTTCTCCCTGCAGCTTGGGCATGGGGTGAAGGATAAGAAGTAGTGGTTAAAGCAGGGGGGTGGAGCCAGGACTCCTGGATTCTCTTTCCTACTCTGGGAGGGGAGTGGACATAGAAGTTGAGGGGGGCAGTGTGTGAGGGTTACAGGGTGGCAGAGAGGGGTGCCACAGGGTGTGAGCCTGTCCCAGGGGAGACAGGGGGATGAAAGGGGAACTGAGAGGTCACCAGGTCAGGGGTGAGCGAGGGGAAAGTCACAGGGTCACAGCAGAGGCAGGGCCAGTTCTGGGGTGACTGGGGCCTGTGGGGGTCATGGGGCCATTGAAGTTCTGGGTAGGTGATGCGTGTGGAGGGAGAAATGGGAGGGCAGGGGCTGGGGGATTCCTGAAGGCTCTGAGGAGAGTGGGTGGGGACCTTGAGGGCATGGGTTGGCTGTAGGGAGGCATGAGATTGGGAGGCTGGGGAAGTGGTGGAAGCCCATGCAGGCACTGGATGACTTGAGGCATCCTGTGGTGCTGAGGGGCAGTGGATGGCTGATGAGGGCCATGGGTGGGTGATAGGGAGAGGCAAGCAATGAAGTATCATGGGGCAGTAGGGATGGCCATGAAGGGGTGGCGCTGGGGAGCTACAATGCAGGGCAAGGCATGGGTGAGTGTTGAGGGGGGCTGTGAGAGTACTGGGAGGTCTGGGGGAAGCTGTTGGGGGTAACAAGGGCAGTGGGTGAGGAGCAAAGTGTACCCATGGGTGGCACTGGGGGGGGGGGGGGGGAGAACAGGGGGCAGGGAGGTGGGTGGGGGGGGGGGGGGGGGGGACATGATATGGTGCCAGGCATGGGTGAGTGATGGGGTGCTGGAGGGGCCCTGTGCATGACCATGGTACCTGGAGATGCTCCAGACGCTCCTTCAGAGACTCCAGAAGGCGCTCCATCTGGTGGGCACCAGGCAGTGTCTCCCGGGGTGGGTCTTCCATGGTGTTAGCGGCAGCAGCACCCTTGCGGTATGCCTCGTGCCCAGTGTGCCCAGCCTGCGGCTCCAGGTGCTCATGGTGCCCAAAGTGGTGGTACTCATTTTCCCGCCCATGTAGCTCCCCACCATCATGGTGTCCGCCAGCCCAGTGCCCCTCATGGTGCAGCCGGTGCTCGTGCCCATGGTCATCCTCATGGTGGAGCCGGTGGTCATGGCCGTTATCATCCTCGTGGTGGCCTCCACCCACCCGGTGATCATGGCCATGGTCATCCTCGTGGTGCCCACCACCCGCTCGGTGCTCATGGCTGTGGTTGTCCTCATGGTGGCCACCTGCCCGGTGGTCATGGCCGTGGTTCTCCTCATGGTGGCCACTGCCATGCTCTGAGCTGTGCTCTCCACTCTCATGGCCCCAGGAACGGGCTTCACAGCGGCTCAGCTTGGCCGTCAGCTCCCGCACAGTCTCCCGCTGGTCCAGGATGGTCTCCTTCTGGTGCACCACTGTCTCCCGCAGGTGCAAGATGGTCTCCTTGGCTTCCTCCAGCGTGCCCACCCAGTGGCTCCCACCACCCGCCCCATGTCGTGGCTGGCTGGCTGACTGGCAGCCATGCTCCATCTCCAAGGGCATGGGACTGCAGATGAACTTGGGCAGGGAGTACTCACCGCTGCCCCCCGGCGCCAGGCACAGGGCACAAAGCAAAGCCCAGGGCACCCTCATCCCTGCACCTCCCTGGCTTCGGGTGGGCTGAAATGGCAAGACCTGACAGTGAGCAGCACCCGCTTCGTGGCTGGGACTTCCCGGCTCGGTCAGATGGTGGGAGATTCTGGGTCCCTCCCTGCGAAGACAGCAGCAAACTCCAATCTGGGGCCTGCCCAGAACCTGCAGTCTCCTCACCAATGCCCCAGCCCTCCTCTAGTAATGTCAGCTGCTCAGCTAGACTGTGTGCCCAAAGCTGGCTGCCTCTGGAGCAGCTGAGGACCCCCCCACACACCCTCCCCCCGGCATCGTTCCTTCCTCTTCAATTAGCCAAATCCTCAGTGATGCAGTGCAACAGGGAATTAGACAGGAGAGCTAATGGACTTAAAATGTCACAGCAAAGCCGCCATCCCAGGTGCTCTTCACCTCCGCCCCTCCTGAAAACCCAGGTGTCCTACATTGAAACCCCAGGGGATCAGTGACTTTAGAAGCTAAAACTGCTAAGACACTAACTTGGGGGATGGGGATTTAAGCAGCAGAGAAGGATGCAGCCAGGGGCTGTGCTCACCCTGAGACAGCCCCCCGACCCCCTGGGTCCAAGCCCTGTGGAAACTGGGCTTCAGGAAGGGGGCAGAAATGAGAGCAGGGCATGGGGCTGGGGCTGGACCTGATCTCAGCTCCACTGCATCAAGCCAAACCCCCCTGGCTGCAGTGAAGCAAATCCAGATTTAAGTCAAAGATATACCCAAGCCTGGGCAGCTGGCAGGGCCAGCATGGCAAAGCCAGACTGGCACCCCTAGCCAAAGGCACACAAGGGAGGGACATGGCAGGTCCCAGCCCGAGTGACCAGGCGGATGGCATCAGCCCAGAGAGAGGTTGGAAGCTGCACCTCTAGGGCTGTAGTGAAACAAAGGCCTGACCTGCTCTGCCTCCACCCCAGGCTGGCAGCAGCGTCAACAGGAGCAGAATCTGTTTCATCCTCCCCCTGAATGCCCAGATGTATGCACACACAAGCCCCGTCCTCCTACCACTGCATGCACACACACAAACACACCACACTTGGGATGTTGGATATCAGAAATAATGCCCATTTCAAAGGTGTGCTCTGTACAGTGTTGCATACAGAACAGAGTTCCCTAGCCCTGTGTGTGTCCCTGCCGCTATAAGTCATCTGTGTGAGTGTGTGTGTGTAAGTGCGTGTAAAATGGTGCCCTCTACTGGAAGAGATCAGAACTGCCCAGCTGTGTGCGCGCACGTCCCTGCCACCACAAGCGGGGGCGGGAGGGGGGGGGGGTGGGGGGGGTGTGTGTAAAATGCTGCTCTCTACTGGAGGGGATCAGAACTGCCTAACTGTGTGTGTGTGTGTGTGTCCCTGCCATACAAGTCCTTCTGTGTGTGTCAGCATATGTGCATGCGTGCATGCACACATCCTCACCTCCTGCTGGATGGAGCGGAGCCACTCTGCTCCCCAAGGGGTCTTGATCCCTTTCTCAGCCCACCAGCAATGGGGCTCTCCTCTGACCCCCTCTGCCCCCATCCCAGCAGCTTGGCTTGGCCTGGTCCAGGCTACTCTATCACATTGAACTGATGGAGCTTATTGGTGCTGCCACCAGCATCCAAGGCCTCCCGCAGCTGGGTCCAGAACATATCTTCAGCATCAGGTTCCTCCGGCCAGTGCAGGTAGCTGTTCTGCTTCAACAGCTTCCTCAGGCGATGGTAGGGGGTGAGCCTGGGGAAGAGCAGGGCACAGTAACAGACATGAGACCAGGGCATCTGCAAGACCTGGGACATGTTCCCCACTCTGCCCCCTGCAGGGGCCAGAGTAGCTAGAACCCCTGCCCCCACCACCACCCACCAGCTCTCTTGCCCCTTCCACCCCCCACCCAGCAGCCCCTGCTGGAGTAGCTAGGACCTGCCGCTCACCCACCCCCAGTTGGGTTAGGTCTCACCTGTAGTTGGGGATCTCCTCCAAGAAGACCACCACCAGGGGGTCGTGCCCCTGGTAGTAGGTCTGGGAGCAGGCTAACTGCATCTCCAGGGAGCACCATTCACTCTCCAAGTAGTTCCTGCTCACCACGCACAGCGTCTTGCGGCTGCTGCTGACACCATTCTGGACATTGTCCAGGTAGTAGGCACCCGGTGCAAAGTCCCTGGGCCCAAAGCACAGCTGGTACTGGGGCTGTCCCTCCTCCAGCTCCACCAGCAGCTTCTCCACCACCCATGGTTCATCCTGGGTGCAGCATGAGATATAGGCATCATACTGATAGGCCTGGCGGTGCCTCTGCAGCCGGCCCCTGCCCCAGGCCCAGAGCAGGTAGAAGCTGTGCCTCAGTGTCCAGCCCATCTTGGCCTTTGCCACAGAGCCCAGCATCGTCAGAAAGGTGGCAAAAAAGGCTACCAGGAAGAAGAAGATGGCTATGTCCACCCTACAGAAGGTCAGATCCATCTTCTCAAAGCCCATCTCACTCAGCCCTGGGCCCAAGCAGGTGTAGGAACCAAGCAAGGGAATTTGGACATCAGGGTCACTGACAGACCAGTTCTGGAACCAGGCGTTCTCACAGGAGCAGGCCAAGGGGTTGTTGAAGACGTCCAGGTACCGCAACATAGTCAGGTTACCCAGCAGGGCCTGGCTGAGGTTCCTCAGCTTGTTTTCCCGTACTGACAGCCCCTCCAGAGACTCCATGCCAGAGAAGATGTCCAAGGGCAGGTCTCTGAGGGAACTGCCATCCATCCTGAGCCATCGCAGGTGGCCCAGCCCCTGGAACAGCCCTAAGTGGAGGCAGAAGGGATCTCCCCTTTTAGGATAGATGTCAGAGAGATCCAGGAATTGGAGTCCAGCCAGCGGGGCCAAAGAGAGGTTGAAGAAGGCGGAGCTGGGGTTTTCCCTCAAGCTGAGGTTCTGGAGCTTAGGGAGGCCTTGGAAGAGGTTGACTGGGAGCTCAATGGGAGGCTTGGGATCCTGGGAGCTGATGTCAAGGGTACGGAGGCTGAGGAGATAGGTGAAGGGGGCAGACAAGTCTTGCTTGTTATAAGAGAACAGACGGTTGTGACTGAGGTCCAGCACCTCCAGGGCCTTGAGGCCAAGGAAGGAGCCCTTGGAGACCTTGTAGAGGTAATTATGGGCCAGGGAGAGTTGCCGAAGGGAGGTGAGGCCTGTAAAGGCCTGTTTCTGAATGGTGAGGATCCTGTTGCTAGACAGCAGTAGGGTCTGAAGGTGGTTGAGGGGCTGGAAGGCATAGGTCTTCAGGTAGAGGAGGCTGTTGTCTCTCAGGTCCAGGAACACCATCTTACGGGCATAGACAAAGGTGTTGCGGGTGACCGAGGCCAGTTGGCAGCCTTGGAGAAGCAGGGTCCTCAGGGAGGCCATGCCCAGGAAATTTTTCTTGTAGACGTAGGTCAGGCGGTTCCGGGATAGGTCCAGGAAGGTCAGATTGGGCAGGGCCTTGAAAAGGCCATTCACCAGCTTGGTGAGGAGGTTACGCCGCAGAATCAGTGTGTGGAGCTGAGCCAGGCCCTCCCCCCACTGGCTACCACTGAACTGCTGGATCTTGCACTTGTCCAGCGAGAGGAACTCCAGGCTGCGAAAGGTATGGAAGTTAATTTTGTCCTTGTGGCTCAAAGGGGTGGTGGCTAGATCCAACTGGGTCAGGTTAGTACATGAGCCCAGCCAGGCAACTTGTGAGGACAGGATCTTGGAGTGCTTGATATCCAGGACCTTCAGTGCTGGGAGGCCCTGTAAGACCTGGCAAGCCATCCCCACATCGGACTCCAGTGCCGGGCGCATGCTGGAGAAGTGCAGGGCTGTGAGGTTGGGCAAAGACAGCCCCAGGAGTTGGGAGATGTTCAGGTGGTTCTCATCCACAGTCAGCTCCTCCAGGCTTGGTGCGGTATAGAAGGAGCTGGCCACCAGCTGAGTCATGTTGTTGCGGGTGAGATTGAGTTTCCGCAGGCTGGGCAGAGAGCAGTGGGTGAGGTCCAGAGAGACAATGTTATTGCTCCTTAGGTTCAGGCTCTTCAGGAAGGGCAAGGAGACCGGGCTGGAGTTCCGGCACGGTGAGGAGATCTGATTGGAATCCAAATCGAGGAGGGACAGGTTGGCCAACCCCCGCATGGCCATGGCCACGTCCTGGAGCTGAGAGAGCTGGTTGTAGGCCAAGTGGAGCTCCTGGAGGCTACCCAGCAAGGCCAGACTCTCAGGATGAAGGGTGGCAAGGGTATTGTGTCCCAGGTGCAGTACCTGCAGAGCAGTGAGCCCTGCCAGCACTGCAGGCTCCAGAGACACCAACCGGTTCTGACTGAGGTCCAGTCGCTTCAGCTCCGCCAGCCCCTGGAAGGCACCAGGGTGAAGGGTGCCCAGCTGGTTCTGGTCCAACCGCAGCTCCTGGAGGTGGGGAAGGTGGGTGAAGGTGCTAAAGTTCAGCACTTGCAAGGCATTCTGGGAGGCATTGATCCACTTGGTGGTGTTGGGCAGGGAAGCAATGGCCTGGCTCAGCTGGACGATACCACGCCCCATGCAACTGGCATAGTCTGGCTGTTCAAATGACAGGGAACAGTAGGCAAAGCCATAGGCCCCAGCGCCCTGGACACAGGCAGCCAGGAAGAGCCATCGGGCAATGGGGAAGGGATGACAGTAAGGAGGGATCATAGCGGGGTCAATGGATGCGTGTGCCTTTGTGTGTGTGGACATGTGTGTATATGCACAACCCCTACTGTTGGCATATGTGTGCACACATCCTTTGCTATGTGTGCAATCTTCTACTGCGTGTAGACATGCACACATCCTCTACCATCTGCTTGCATGTGTGTGCATACACAACCACCTACTGTATGTGTTCATAACCCCAATCATGTGCACACATGCTTCAGCCCCTACTCTGTGTGAATTTCTCTGTATGGTGTATACCCCTGCCTACCCCATGTGCATGGACATGGTGCAAATCCACAACTGTCTACAATCAGTGTGTGTGCTTGCACAGTCCTCTGTTCTGTGATAAGGCACTGTCCACCTTTTGTGGGTGTGCTTCCACCCACAAAATCCCCTACAGGGCATGTGTGTATGTGTATGAGTGGGGAGGAGGATATGGGTGTCTACCAGCAAAATTCCCTACAGTGTGTATGTATGTGTGTGTGGGGAGGTTGTCTCCACTTCCACAATGCACACAAACCAGTGCACACACACACTGTTGCCCCCTACTGTCTAGACCAGGGGATTTCAACCTGTGGTCTGTGGACCCCTAGGGTTCCGCGGACTATGTCTAAAGAGTCTGCGAAAGATGACTATGATCAATCAAAAGGAGGTGAACACCCACAGTTAGAGTTCAAAGGGGTCCGCACCTCCATTCAAAATGTTTTAGGGGTCCACAAATGAAAAAAAGTTGAAAACCACTAGTCTAGACCTCCCCAGCTACACAGGTCAGTGGCCACTGGGAGGGAGGAGGGGGGCTTCTGCCTTTGCTTCTCCCCTGCTTCAGTGATTGGTGGTTCAAGCAGGACTTGCAGAAAAGGAAAACCTGGGAAAATCCTTTTACGCTGGGCAAACTCTTCTTAGTGGGGCTGCAGGAGTCTTCTGCTCGTTGCTGAGGCAATTAAAGGCTGACACAGCCAAGCCTAGCTCGGAGAACCCTGCAAGGACAAAGCAAATCAAAGTCCAGTCACTAGTGGTTTAGAGCAAGGTGGGAGGCAGGGGGTGGGGGGAGCCAGAACTCCTAGGTTCTCTCTCTCCCATCTCCAGGAAGGGAGTGGGGTCTGGTGCATCACAGCAGGAGTCCCCGCTCCTCTCCCAGAGCTGGTGATGGAGGTCAGGAGTCCTGGCTCCCAGTTCCGTCCCTTCCTCCTCCCCATCTTACTGTGCCCTTTATGAAACCAGTCACTTCCCATCATCACTTCCTCTTTGGCAGTGTTGAAATAACAGTCATTGCACCAGAAGGTTCCAATCGCGCCCAGTTAATGACTGGCACTAGGTTAGGTCAAAGCTAAGCACTGCCAGTCCCGGGGAGGGGGGAGCACTGGAGGGTGGGGAAGCAGCAAGGCCCTTTTCCCTCCAGGGGATGCCAGCCCCCATCCAGCCCTACAGACTGGCCCCATATGTACAGTGGGTTGCTGGGCCTCAGCCCCATGCCCAGCCCCAACATTACAGCCCACCCCACTTCACCTGAGCACTGGCCACCCCCCACTCCAGCCACAGACACCGGGACCTGGGCTCTGCGTGCAGAGAGGGGCACTGATGGGGCTGCATGAGAACCGTCATGTGCGCGCATGTGTGCTCAGAGGGGCTGGCTGGAGAGGGAGAGAGGTGCATGGGGGTAGTTGTTGGAGGGGCCAGGGAGTTCAGTGTGGGGAGGGTGGTTGTGAGGAGGAGAGGAGGTCCGTGGGGCAGGCTGCAGCTGAGGAGAGCTGTGCGAGGGATGGGGGCCAGCTGCGAGGGGACTTTGAGGAGGAGCTGTGGGTGCCACAGGGACCTGGGGGTTCTGCTCTATGTGAGGGGGGGCTGTCTGTGTGGGGAGCCTGCATGTGTTGGGGGGACTATCTCTGTGGGGTTTGGAGGGGGGGCTGTCTGAGCAGAGATCTGGGCCTGGTGCTTGTGGGGCACCGTGGGAAGCCACTGGGGTCCCAGCACTGCGAGTGCAGCCAGCCTGACAGCAGCAGCAGGGCTGGGGGGACGTCCTGGCGCCGGGATCCGCACCTGTAGGCCACGGCAGGACATCCCAGACGGCTCCCAAACCCCGTAGCAAAGCAGCAGCTTCCTCCTCCCCAGAGGCAAAAACGAAACCAGCTGCGGGCAGCCCTCCCTCCCCCCGGTTCCCGCACCCCAGGGCCCTGGGCGCCTCAGGGCAAGGGGAGCCCAGCTGCAGCCCGCCCGCGGACCCCCGACCCCTGCCCGCTGGGCTGGCTCCTACCTGCCGGGGCTGCTCCGACCGCGGCGCTTCCTCGCCCGGAGGCGGCTCGCGCTGAGTCGCGCACGAATAGTCTCGAGCGCAGGTGAAACCCCCGGTGCAGCCCGGAGTTGCCGCCAGGGGG